ACTACGGTTGCCACTGCCACTGGGTTAACCTAAACTTTCCGTATTGCCCAATCTGATTTCAGAGCACCACCATGCAAATCTCTCCAGTCTACAATCTCTGGCTTTTCCGGTGATGTCATGGATGACGTAGTCTCCCTTCCTATAACCTCAGTGGTCATGCCCTCTCCCCACTTCTCATGTTGCTGACCCCCCCCCCCCACTGACACCATGCGCTTACAAACATGCATGCATTCGTCGGGATTCGGGGTCAGGCCAATGGGTACAGCCATGGAGGTAGGAAGTAAGATGGAGTCGCCCTAAACAAGTTTTTCCCGCCCGTACCCTGCTCTGAAGCACCGGCGATCCCTACGTGGTGACCAAAACATTGGGTCATTTACCATTGAGTTCTATGGGATTTGACGCGTTCGGATGTAAATATTTTGTAATTACGTCGTAAATATACATATAAATGTATATATTTTCTTTTTCTACAACACTTCAGAGTCCTAAGTATGTGAAAACAACATATTTTTAAACAACATTTCATTCTGAACGGAATTAAATGCTATACTTTTCACAGGACAGTTTTGTCAGAATGGTTTAATTTTTTCTTAAAATCTATATTTTTGTAGTGCAACAGCTTATAATTTTATAAAACAAATTCATAATCAAAATCGCTGTTGTTTAGTTATCGAAAAATAACCAAGATGTGATTTTTGCGGTAAATGTCACTAAACTATACAAATTGCTATTATCCATCACACTATGAATGTTTCTTTCATGCGAAAGTGTCCCTTTTTCGATTTCTATGGACTGTCGTGTGTCGAAATACTATCAGAATCTTGTCAAGCGAGCTTCTGAATGTAAACAAGGAACACCCCGTCTGGTGACCCAAGCTTCAAAGCAGTGCTTCACTTTTAGCGCGGGTTGGCCCCTCCTCCCTTTCCTACCTACATGGGTACAGCAGTCGGCGCCACTGACCCCTACATTAGCTATGCGGCCTGAAAGGCACGCAGTAAGAAGAGAGAAAATAACTGAAAGCAGTGATTGCAAGCTCCGCGGCCCACGAAGTCATTTTGTGTGCTCAGTGAATACATTTCAATTATGTATTTGTTACAAATACAGTATTGCAAAGATTTTAGTTTTGTTCAAGTTTATATTATTTCCACTTCCATTAAAAACAAACATGAATTACATACCTGAAAAATCTATAAATGAAGCTTGTTAGTTTACAATAAGGTATAAGTTACAATAAGATTTGAAGATACAGGTTTTATTAAATTTTATTCAAAAATTAAATAAAGCGCAGTTAGTAATTTTTGCACTAATAATAATCACTCGAACCACGAATCTCTCGAATACACGTCGAGCGTGCTGACCACTATACCTCGAAGGCATGCTAAGAAGGCGGGAGAAATACTTTATATACCCCCCACCTTTAAAGGGCGACTGGGGTTTCGCCAAATCCTGGTGGTGGATAATCCACCACCTGTTTTAGTTCGGGCGCCACTTTAGAGACATTAGGTATCATATTAGAAAGCAGGAGAGATGAAAAATGAGCAACGCCCTCGCCTGGACTCGGACCATGGATCTCTCGAATACCCGTCCAGCGTGCAGAACACTACACCACGAAGGCGGGAGAAATACAGTGGATGGACAAAAATATGGAAACACCTTGTGAAATGCATGTTTGAAAAGAAAGATTGATTTTAATGAAATATGTAGGTGGCGCTGGTGTTTTTGACTACTGACGCCCCCTATACAACTTCGTAAATGTGCTAAACAGTTCAGTTGTTGTCGGACTACTGTTATGTGAGGTTGTCTTTTCATTATGTCAGAGTTAACAGACTTCGAACGTGGGCAAATTGTTGGAGCACGTATGGTAGGTGCTCCCGTAAGCAAGGTGTTTAGTGTTACACAGCCGAGTTGTTTAGTGTTTCAAGAGGTACTGTATCGAAGATTTATTCCGCATATTTGAAAAGCGGATAAACATCATCTGCTAAATCACAGCGCGGACGAAAGTGTGTCCTGAGTGATCGTGACAGACGATCATTAAGGGCAATTGTGACGAAAAATAAGAAGACCACAGCTGCAAAAGTTGCTGCTGAAATGAATGTTGTGTTACCGAACTCTGCGAGTACCAAAACAATTAGAATGGAGCTTCATAAACAGAGAATTGCTGGCCGTGCTGCAATCGAGAAGCCACTCATCAGTGATGCTAATGCCCGTAACAGGAAAAGGTGGTGTTTAAGTCATAAAGCCTGGACTATAGAGCTGGAAGCGAGGAATAATAGCTAAAGTGTAAGTGTAATAGTAATATGGTCTGACGAGTCTTCTTTCACATTGTTTCCCACTTCTGGCCGAGTTTATGTCTGGAGAACGCCATCTCAAGCCTATAATACAGACTGCTTGTTGCCAAGAGTGAAACATGGCGGGGGTTCTGTTATGGTTTGGGCAGCCATATCGTAGTTCTCTGCTAGCCCCATGATAACTGTGTCAGGGCACATGACTGCCAAGACTTATGTGAACATTTTGGCCGATCAAGTTCATCCCATGGTACAAACTTTGTTCCCCCGATATTTCCAAGACGACAAAGCCCCTGTTCACACAGCTACATTGTCCAGGACTGGTTTTCTGAGCACGAGGATGAGTTGTCCCATCTCCCCTGGCCACCACAGTCACCAGACCTGAATATTATCGAACCTTTGTGGTCTACATTGGAACGGAAAGTGCGTTCTCGTTATCCACCGCCAACATCGTTATCTGAACTTGCCCACCGGTTTGCAGGAAAGAATGGTATAATATTCCCCTTGGCAAACATACAGGAACTGTATTTATCCATTCCGAGAAGACTGCAAGCTGTTTTGGATGCCAACGGGTTTCCTACACCATATTAAGCAAAGAAACATGTTTTTTTAAAGGTGTTTCTATATTTTTGTCTAACCCCTGTAACTTATAATATTATATGCGATATTTTGCACGGTTAGCGCTTGTGACCGTACATAAATAGAAGGACATGTATTAGGTGGTAGTAAGGACAACAGACATCATATGATCTAAACGACAGCCAAATTGCTACGAGCCCGAAACAATATTTGAATATAGGATATCGGAAGTATACCTACCTATAAAGGAAGAGCACTCAGCAGAATATGAGAATGGAAGTACCCTTATCGTTCTTTAGATTTCGTTCAATACCTCGTGATCTTTCGCATGCTTTTTATTCTACTAGGTTTCCTGTAGTGGAACATCACGGATTGCATTCATTAAAAAAAATATTACATCTACAACACTGTTACGTTATTTAACTGCAGAAATTTTAGATTCATGACGAAGCCCTCAAGACCTGAGCATACATGTAAATTTTCTGTAATATAGAGTTAATTCTTGATGATTTCGAGCAGCTGTTATTCAAGCCGCAGTAAAAGCACTGGACTTCATCTTGACTTTTGAAACAAAACATGGAATTATGCATTTTCTGCGGGGATTCTCTTCGCTGCAGAAAATGTACAGAGAAAATACACATAAGCTTCATATACAGAGGCTGTTCGCACATATTTTAGACGATTTTGGTAAGCGGTAATAAAAAATCGTTTGCTGCAAAAGAAGTAATTGCAATTGTACTATGTTTTTAAAAGTCAAAATTATCGTCTGTGGCTTGAAAGTTTTGTTTTTATTCAAAAAGGCGAATTTAACAAAGCAGTGGTTCGAAGGCTACATTAACGTTCTTTCCGAAGAGAAATATGCATACTCCGTTATCCAAAAACGATGTGAGAGTCACGGTTTTGTGATATCTAAAGCGTCGATAGGTAATATCATCAACAAGAAAGGAAAAAAAAAGGACATCTTCGACTATTGCAAAGGTACGTTGTTTAATGTTAAAAGAAAATTCCCCTAGTCAAAGGACAGTTGCAAAATCATTAAAATGCTCGGTGTCCACTGTAAACAAAATGATAAACGTTGATTTAAATCTTAAGAAAGCGAAAAAACGCAATGTGCATCGTCTTCTTTCAAAGCATATCACTCCACGCAGGACACGCTGCAGAATTCTATATGAGAAACACTTATCCAAAGAAAAATGGAAAACAGATGTCACAATAGATGAAGCATGGGTGTATTTAAACGATTGTAATGATTGTAACAAAAAAGAGCCATTTATTATCATAAAAGGGGAGAAAAAAATTAAAGTACATGGTTCAAAGAATCGAAAGAAAGTTTTTTAAGGGATTCATGATTGTTGCTCGTTTTTCTTATAATGGCAAGTTAAAAATAAAGAGAATGCAAAAAAATGTCAAGATTAACTCCAAATACTATCAGGAACCTATTTTATCGCCAATTTTTCTGAGTGAACTACCATCGCTTTACCCACAGTGTCATCCATCTGTGAGACTCCATCAGGACAAAGCTAGCAGTCACACATCAAAATCCACTGTAAATTTCCTAAAAGAAATGGAACAAAAATACTGGTAACAAGGCCATACCTTCACTCATATCCCTACTCAATCTCCCGATGTGTCACCTATGGATTTTTGTGCTTTCGGACTTTTAAAAACTGCATTATCCAAACGTTGTTCCAAAACTTTAACAGGACTCTGGAAAGCTGTTCGGGAGGAATGGGATAGAATATCTCTTCTGCCACTTCAAAAGGCATTATTATCCTGGAAATTGCGGTTTCGAAAGATAGTTCAAAATAAGGGATGTCAAATAGAACATTAAAACACAATTTTATGTAATTTAGTTTTGTGAATACAATATACATCGTCTAAATAATGTGTGAACAGCATCTGTAGAAATGGAGGTGAAAATGATTTACTTTTGTCGTGACACACTTAATATTCAAAAGATGGTCCCAGAAACGGAAATTTGCTTAGTCCTCTTATCTTTCCTGGAATAGACTTTCATTAACTTATATACCAAATATCTTAACCAATATAATACCCAAATTATAAAAGATGCTAGTTAGCAAAATATTTCTTGCATGGGTCATTAATGCGATGACGAGGCCTTTGAGAAATCTTTACCTCATTAAAAGATGCAGCAGATGAATCGTTGTCTTCCTGTGATCGGCTTCTGTCTTCCTGAGATTCGGATCCGAAAACATCCAATCCCATTTTCGGAAAACTGTCCTCCGCATCTTTCAGGTGGCTGCGTTGGAAACTCGATTGCTCTTCGAACTGGCTGAGAGGGTAGGAGGCCATTCGCTGGTAACTTTCGCAACAGGATTCTTGCGTCAAGAGGACCATGCACACCACCACTAACAATGCACTCCAGAATGAGGTGAAACACAACATAGCTTTTTGATAACCTGTCGGGAAAGGAAATATAAAAGGTTTCACATAAATATTTATTCATAAAAATGCATTTTTAACACTGAAGTCATAGGATTAGGAATGATTCTGCTTTTATTAAAAGCATAATGGTATTAAAGGCATATTAAGGTATTTTAGGGTTTTCGACCTTTTTTTTTAATCTTTTGGAGCAGTCTTCTAAAGTAATTGTCAATTTTTATGGAACCGTTTCAGAAAATTGCTGCAAATATGTATCGCTGCATTTTATTGAAGTAAGTTAAATGATAGATTTAAGAATTAAAAAAAACTAAAAATCTGAATCCCTTCACACTTTATATTACGTCCAAAGGGGCTTTTTTTTTTTAACGTTTTTGTATGTTGCCTGTATTTATTAAATATCATAAGTAGCGTATTCGGAAACTAAGTACCGTTTCATTCTAGTGCCGTCGCAGCGCTGTGGTAGGCGTCCCGCGCATGCGCACTAGTCTTTCTTGCTCACTGACTTTCAATTGTCGCCATTTTGGTTGCTCTATGTTGTGTTTTCAGTTTGCTGTGTACATTCAAAATGTTTAAGACAATTAGTTCTCCCGCTGACTGAGATTCGTGCCGTGATTAAATTTTTGAAGGCGAGGAATGTTAAACCGGCCGAAATTTATCGTCAAGTGACAGAAGTTTACGGTGAATACGCGATAAGTGATGGAATGGTGAGAAAGTGGGTAAGAATGTTTAATGCAGGTCGAACAAATGTCCACGCCGAGGCTCGGAGTGGTCGGCCTTCTGTTGTCACCGATGATTTGGTAAGGAAAGTTGATGAAGCAATTCACGAGAACAGACGCTTCACAATGACAACTCTTTCAGAGGCATTTCCAGAAATTTCACGTACTGTTTTGTTCGAAATTGTGTCTGACCGAATTTGTGTCGAAATTGTGTTATCGCAAACTGTGTTCCCGATGGGTTCCAAAAAATGCTCACTGATCACAAAACAAAGTGACTTGGTAGTGCCCTGACATTTCTCACGCGGTACAGTGATGAGGGAGAAAACTTTTTAAACCAAATTGTGACAGGTGATGAAACTTGGGCGTGTCATTTCACACCAGAATCGAAACAACAATCGATGGAGTGGAGACACACTCGTTCTCCGATAAAAAACAAAAGTTCAAAGTGACAATGTCATCACAAAAAAATCATGTGCACTGTCTTCTGGGATAGGAAAGGCGTTTTGCTTACTGAATTTCTTCCCAGAGGTGAAACCATTAATGCGGTACGATATTGTGAGACTTTAACAAAACTAAAGCGTGCCATTCAAAACAAACGAAGAGGAATGCTCAGTAAAGGAATTGTGTTGCTCCATGACAATGATCGGCCCCATACTGCTGGTGTCACTCAATCGTTAATTCGACAGTTTCATTGGGAGCAGTTCGATCACCCGCCATACAGCCCGGACTTGGCGCCGTCCGACTATTACTTGTTCCTGCACATGAAGCGCGAGTTTGGTGGCAAGCGCTTTGGATCTGACGATGACACGAAAAATGCTGTGGAGTCGTGTTTATCGAAACTGGCGGGAAGTTTCTTTGACGGTGGTATACAAAAACTGGTCACCCGCTATGACAAGTGTTTGATCATTGGCGGAAACTATGTTGAAAAGTAGTTTAAGACATGTATTTTCATGTAAAAATAAAATTGGATTCGAAAAAACTGTTTTACTATTTTTTTTTTTCCAAAATGGTACTTAGTTTCCGAATACACCTCGTATATAATGTTCTTCACACTTAAGCCGTAAAATTCAATTCAACAGCAATATCGCAAAATATTGGTCCAAAATGCCAAGGTGCGGTAAGACAGCTTCCCCGCAAAGCAGGTTTAGGGTTGCCATAAATGGCAAGGGAAGGCAAGGTTGCCACATTTGGCAAGAAATCGCCAATTTTAGAGAACCTTCTGGAACGAATTCTTACCAGTTTAGCGCAGAATGTTCTCGAACACAAGCCAAAAGCTATATAAACCCTCCTGGTGCGCGGAGAATCAGTCCGGGAGGAGTCCATCGAGTTGATAGCCAGCGAGTGCCGAGTTGGTTCGTCGAGTGCACCGAAAGTTTCTTAGTGTATCGCGAGTTAGTGCATCGTCGAGTTTTATCTTAGTGTAGAGCTCCGGGAACAACTGAACCGAAGAGTCGGGAGCTAAGGCTGTGTCGCTGATTGTTCCAGCGAGTTTTATAGTAGATCTTCGACGACTGTAAACGTGTTATTCGAGCTGTCTTGAATAATACTGGCCAATAAAGTGTGTTTTGATACTTCATCTTGTAGTGGCGTCGTTGTTCATTCCAAATCCGTACGAACGTAAAGGAAGAAAAATAACATAAATATTTAAAAGAGCATATCTTCAGAATTTCCGATACAGAATCTCGTGCACTGGAGATGAAAATGTTTTTTTTTCCCGTACAGTGTTGCCATTCCTCACTTTGAAATCGTGGAGTTTCTTAATCAAAAACTCTTAAATACTTTACAAAATATGAAATAGATAGTAAAACAAATTTCAAATTAGGGCTTACAGATGTCCATATTTGAATGGAGACGTACGCTACTGAAAATTTGTCTCTAGGCACCGTTGTTTTATCACAATGCGAGAAGCAGACATTTATGCACATTCTTAATTACTTAAATTTCTTTAAATATAATATAGGGCTTTAATATTTGGTGGCAACAATTTAAAAGCGATTCGCCAAATCACTTTTTAAATTGTTGCTCACGAATAGTGAATCAACGCAAAATGCCAGAACGAAACTAATACTTCTTGTGGGCAAACTGCTCCTTTGGGCTAAAAAAAAGTACTACTTCTATTTGCAATAATGTCTTTACCCAGACTCGTTATTTTTTTTCTGGTTTAGTAGCTTATCTTTTTGAATAGCGTAAAAAATAATACAAAATTTCTGTAGAAAAAAATATTGATACAATTCACTTTAATTGCAGGCAACTTTATGTTATGCTTTCCAGCATAATTTTTCAACTTCCTTCTCGAAGATCTGTAGGTCATATCATGATCAGGTCGTTTAACATGAAACTGGATTTTACAACTTTCAATAAAAATCATTTCTTGAAAATTCAGACAAATATTTCTTTCGCTAAAACAGGTACGAGATCTATCATTTATATTAAGTTCCGATGTTCATATCCGTAGATTAAAGAATGCTTCAGCAAGCCTAGTTTTCTAAGCATTTTTTCGATTTGAGAATGATTTGAATCCGCATTAATCATCTATCCAATCTAAAGAATAATGCTTTTGTCATTCACTGTATACCCACCAAGTTTGTTTTTTTCTCAATTAAGAGGGAGATGGCTTTTATGTTCCGAGATGTTCACTTTAATTAACGCAATGACCCAATTCTATCGTCCTAAGTGATCCGCATCTCATTCCGGGTAATGACTCCCCTCAAAAGAAGTGTTTAAACTAATTCTTAACTGCAAATTTTGTATCTTCGCTGTTTCTCATACTTTAAATATTCACAGCTTAATTCACGACGAATATAATTGTCAAGTTTTGTAATCTTTCTGATACTGCCGAGTGGACTGTTAAAAGGTGATTTCTTTGAACTTCATATGGTAAAATAATCGCGAGAGCAACATGTATTTAACAAATAAAGTTAATCCAGAAAATGTTAATAATAAATATACGCCCAAAAAATGTTTTACAAGCCATCTTATAGTTCGATCGTCTCATCCGCGACCATGGATGGACCGAATTATTCTCAAAATAGGATTGGATGGATGGAGACTTTCTTTCCTTCCAGCATATATCTCTTTCCGGACATGAGAAGACGTTCACGCCGCAGCAAGTAATAACGCCCATTTTGGACAAGTCTATGTATTTTGGCAGAATGCCAGCCAGGGTTGCGTCTGAGACGGTCGAACTAGACTAAAAAAACTGAATACTCATAAGACAAACTGAGAAAAGACTTCAAAAAATAGAAAAAAATGTATGCCAACACTGCTTTGAGAATTTTAAACATATACTGCTATGCTACTGTTAAAATATGTGATTTTGCTGTTGAATTATACACGGCGTAAGTTCGAAGAAAACGATGCTTAATGATAAAGCTAAAAAGACAATAAAAAAAAGTAGGTGTGAGTGCAACAGTAGACTGGGTGAGCTCAGCGAGAACTTAAAAATCCTTAACAAACCTTTTGGAGTGACCGTTAACATCTCAAACCTTTCAGATTTTTTTTAATCATTAATTTTATTTACTTATGAAGCAGAAGTAGAATTAGTGCCAGTATATAGAACTCATAATCACAGAAGGGACAAACTATAAAAGAAATAAAATGTATAAAACATTTACAACTAGAATAGAATATTTCTAGTAATACTCTCTTCAGTACAACTCACAGACTAGAATAAATGTACACTTTGGGAACCTTTTTATGGGATACCTTCCAAAGCTCACTGACTCGTTCGCGAAATACTTTGCCAAAGATAATATACAGAAATTTATGTTGATCCAAGATCCTTTTTATTACGAAGCTCCTCAGGATTTTTCTTTGCAAGACGAAGGAAGTTTAATTGAACTCTCTTACGACAACATCCTGAAAACAAAACTTGCTTGCTCAGATTTAATGGAGCTGTGGATTTCAATCAAAATTGAGTATTTAATTTTAAAGTTCTAAAGCTCTAAGGATCCTCATTACCTTTGCAACATCCTATGTAGGCGAGGCTGAACTCAACAAAGGAAAGCAAAAGTTGCTTGATCAGATTTAATGGAGTTTTGGATTTCAATCAAAATTGAGTATCCAACTTCAAGTTCTAAAGCTCTGAAGATCCTCATTCCCTTTGCGACATCCTATGTATGCGAAGCTGAATTTTCAGCTGTTGCTGTAATAAAGACCATATATCGTTCGAAATTGAGTGTGGAGTAAGAAATAGCTGCATTAAGTCCTCTTCCGCGATTTGAAAAAATAGTGTGGAGATCAACAAGCTCACTTGTCACATTGACTTTCTTGCCACTGAAGCTTTTTTTATTGGTATTTAATTTGTATGTTTTCTTATCAA